AATTGCACTGCAAAAGGCTTCATCTGTAAATATCCCAGCAAAGTCACCTTTGTCTCGGTTGCAAATGTATCCGATCTACAATCCGATGGGACAGGATCAACGTATAGCACTATCAGAGTAGGATGATAATTGCCAAAGGAGTGCGCATCGAGTCCGCTGACTGACAGTCGATAGTTTGTGGATGAGACCCCCGCAACGCCTTCATTGCACGAGAGTGGGACGGTAGAGCACGAGCAAACTCCAGCAGAATGCCATGCAGAGCCTCTAGAACTACTTCCAACCCCCAATCACGCTAGGGCGCGCCTTTCTTCGAGCAGTGCTATTCCAGTCCAGCAGGCTCGGCGCGAGCTTTCTTTTACCGCTCTGTCGGATTCCGGCAATGATCCTGAGACAGGGTTACTGCGACATTACTGCTATGCGCTAGCCCCTTGGATTGATGTCGGCGATCCCAGCCGTGCTTTCGGCCTCGAGTTCCTGATCCTTGGCAGGCGGGTCCGACCACTTCTTGCTGCTATCCTTGCACTTGCTGCGGGCCAAAGGTCGCTTGTGGTGCCGAGACACGCAGCCGACGACCTCGCCATGAGCCTCAAGTTTCGCGACGAAGCTGAGAGCGGCCTTCCTTTGCAAACTACTACTATCCAGAGAGTAGGAAATGTATTTTTCATGCTGCATGACTTCTTTTCTTCCCGTCCATCCCAGTGGAAGACTTTGGTGACTGGTCATATCAATGCGCCAGGAGGCCTCGGATGCCTGGCAGCCTCTGACGGAGGGCTCAATGAACCGTCTTTCTGGGTGACACTCAGAATCGGTGAGTTGGATAAAACTTCCTGGGCTCATTGTCAGAAGCTAACACTGGCCAGATCTTGCTGCATCTATTATAAGCTCTGAGCCCCCACATATGCTGATGCCCCCGCCAGTGTCCACTTCACAGTCAGCTCCTATCAAACAGGTCTATCAGCATATTCTCTTGCTTCTCGCGCATACCTTGACCTTCATTTTCGGGGGCCCAACCACATATCTTGAGGGCCTGGGCCAAGTAGATACAGTCCCCGCTTTGAATCCTGTATCGCAATGGAGTTATCTATGGACGGAATGCCGGAGATGGTATCAGAATCGTCCCCTGCAAGTGCAGCCCGTCTTGGATGTTCGAGCTGCGCACGCAGATGAGATTGACCCACAGAATGCATCTTCCTTCCCAATCTTGGTCTACACCACACCCCTCGCACTAGTCGCCAATGCTGTCTACCATGTCGCGTCTTTTCTCCTTCTGACTCGCAAACCGCGCTTTGTGAAGACGCTGACCGGCCCGAAATGCCTGTCCTCCTCTATCTGGCATGCTCAGTCCATTGCCGGTATTGCAACTAGCAACGATACGGTCGAGCAGTGGGACCCGATCCTCATCGCGGCGCTGCTTCTCATAGCCAAAGATATGACCCACCATTTACAGCAGTCGGCGGTGTTGAACCGGCTACGACGAATTACGGAGTTGACAGGGATCAACTTGGACTACGAGATCGAATCTCTTCAATCCCAGTGGCGCATGTCACGATACGAAGAACCAATTGCTTGATGCCAGAGCACATCGGGACTTTATGATTTCATCTAGTGGTTGTTCAACCTATCGACTTCCAAGGCCTTTGGAATGCTCTGCATCGATCCAGGCCTCTGCACGCATAAGGCCGCGGCACAATTTGCCCGTCGAACAGCCTGCTCAATGGCGTTATCGAAATCTTCAAGCGGGGCCGATGTCGCGATGAATTCGGCAAATGCCGCGGCAAAATATCCAACAAAGGTGTCGCCAGCGGCCGTCGTGTCAACCACGCTCTGTACCCGAATCCCATCGACTAGGCCCTTTCTGCCGGTGCAGGTCGAGAAGAAAACACCCTTCGCCCCAAGGGTAATTAGGACGATCTTGACGTTCGCGAGCTCATGGAACCGCCTCGCCAGGTCTTCCGGCTTCAACTCGCCTGTTGCCTGGGTGTCGATCGCTGAATCTGCTGAGATGGATGCCTGCATTTGCGCCGCTTCGGTCTCGTTCATGACGAGAACGGATGTGTTGGCGAGCGCGTCAACTGGGACGCCATCTTCGAAGACCGGGGCAGGATTGAACAGGACATGTGTTGGATTTCCTGGCTGGTTGAAATGCTTCATCAAGTCCAGAGTCGTGTGTCTGGGAATCTCGCCTTGTAAAACAACCAAAGCCGGAGATTGAGGATAGGATTGGATCGTAGCGAGGATCTTCTGAGCATCATCCATCCCCGCATGATTGGCCCCTGGCACCACCAAGATCCTGTTTTCGCCGTGCGCTGATTCTTCAACGATGATTGTTGCCGACCCGGTGCGGCTGTCTGTTTTCTCTTCAATATACTTTGTATCTACACCGGAACCCTCTAGCGTCGGTCGGATCAGTGTTGCGTAGTAGACGTCGTCGGCGCCCACAGCGCCAATCATGCTCACAGTGACTTTTGCGGCGTCATTGGAGGTGAGAGAGGCTCGACCACATGCGACAGCCTGGTTTGCACCCTTTCCGCCCGCAGTCACGGAGAGTGAGTTTGCTGTTAAGGTCTCCCCTGGCCCGGGACACCGGGATGTTGATACTGCGAAGTCGATATTCAGCGAACCGACGACGCAGATGTGGGTCGTGTTGGAAGACATGCTGCAAATTTGAAATGTGGTGTTTAGAATACTAAGAAATTAATACTGAATCAGAATATGGATGACTTGCAACTTGGATATTTATGTTTGTCCTCACTTAGCCCGCCTATGCCAAGGTGGAGCCGTCCAAATGCGGGAACCGTAGGCTATGCACCTAGAATCGGCCCACTGCATGCAAGTAAATAATTTTCCAAACCATCTCTTGCATATGAAATATTAATCCCCCTGCACTGATTTGATTGGTTTCACCAAAGAAGAGCGCATAAAATGTCGCGCTCGCGCAGTTATATAAGTCTGGGGGAATTTAGGCTACGGCAACAAAATCAAATGTCTCAAAGTTGTCATAACCCTCTCCTCCGTATAACTATCATATATCACTGATTAAACAGTAGAAGCCACATATGATACTGTTTAAATAATAGGAATCAATAAATCAGTTAACAGGAAGAGCTAGCTGTCATAAGCAGTGGTAATACTATGTTCATGGATAAAGTCTCCTATGTGATATGCGCGAAGCAGTAAACAAGGCTGCTGCAAACTGAAAAGAACTAGAGAGTACATATGCTTGGCTACCTTAGAACCATTAATAACCTTCTTAAGGTATGTTTGCCAAGGAGAATAACATACTGGCGAAGAATTAAGGTAGCCAAGTATGGTTTTAAGTTATCCGCATTAAGAGTCGTGCATCCCATGGATAATTTAGACACATGAAAGAGTCTCTAGCCTAACTGACCCTTCCACCTAATTTCAGGGTCCTAGCGGTGCGACCCTGCCACCTCAACGTAAGGAGCCATCTCAACGGAAGGATGTAAGGATATACAGTTTGCTAACTAATATAACGACAAGAGAGAGCTGAGAGGCTATAAAATTAACCAAAATCTTTATACTTATAAGATTATGAGTATATTCGTTTTTGGTTATATTTTATTGAAATAGAATTAGAAGGGTTATGCCAGAGTCAACACCCGCGCCAGTACCATCCTCAACTTTCACCACCAGCCTTTAACCACTTGAGCACAGTATTATTTAGAAGTGGTTCCAGGTCGGGAAAAGAGACCCTCTACCTTAGCCTTGTGAGTGTAATAAGATACCGCATCATCCTCCCTGACCGTTCTTCTTACTTTGTGTGTTCATCGTGACTGTGACTCTTGATGAATTTTTTGGCCCTCTATTTGCCGTGTTGGTAGCATAGACAATATATAGATACCCCTTCAAGTGATTGGATAGAGCTATGATAGTAAAAGGCGCCACAGAAGTTGAGAGAAAAAATTTTCTGCAGTCCCGTTTTAGGCATCTATGTTTTGCGAGGTACAGGATGAGAGGGATTTTTGGGAGCCAATGGAGCTTCAAACTTTGATCAACCCGCTCGCTCTATCAAGCATCTGCTAGCCCTGAATGATAGAGAAGGCAATGGATTGAATCTGAAATGAGATTGTTGCTCTCACGTCACAAGTTCAGAAGTACTAACACGAAGACAATAGTAGTACCTAGAAGAGCCATGCTAAATGGTACTGATACTGCTCCTAATGGTCCGTCAATTGGACGACTTCCTTCGCCTGCCGCGAATGCCGCGAATCGTAAGAAAGCAGTATGTGTCATATCTGTTGTTATAGATAGCAGGGAACAGATCATAGCAGCCTAGCAGGCGCGTGAGGGAATTAAATGCATCAATCCAAGCTTTTTCTTGGACGACCCAGACCGACTAACAACAGATCTGACGGACGTGAATGGCTGAATAAACGGGGCTGGACCGATTAAGGTCATCTAAAAGTCGTCTATAGGTCTCCAGTTCCCGAAGCCAAGAGAATGTATACATGATATAAGATTTTTTGTTTTCCCTTCCACTTCCGTCCGCTCCCCTACTTGTTGATCAACTCGAATTTCTTCTCATCAATTACTGTTGCTTCTACTTCATCGTACAACCAATTCGGATTCTTCCGCTAAATCACACATCGATGAAGAACCTTGACCTGACTATCTTTTGCCTCTGTGTCACTGCAGTGGAATGCCATAAGCGCAGACCCGACGTTGTCTGCCCAGAGCTCCTAGAAGAACGTCGCCCGCCATAGGACAAGCAGTATCGACGGCCAATGCTTCGAAGAGTATCAGTATAGACTCAGAAGATGACATAGGTTGCCTTCTGTGTACGTCTTCATTGTCGAGAATGCTCTTAGGGACGCGCATGCTGACATGTAACAGCTTAGCACAGCATCTTCAGATTTTGTACACTCGTTAATCCAAATTCGGCATCTTCGTATACAACCAAAAACCGGGAGAAGATAAAACTCAAAAGAAAAAAGAAAAAGAAAAAAGAAAGGTGAAAATAAGTACCAACCATACACAAAATGAATCGCTTCATGAATTTCCTGGCCAAGCCAGGAGCAAAGGGCGAGATCCAAGGCGTGGCTCCAACTCAATTCATCGAGAAAGACGGCCTTGCGATTGACGAGCCTAACGCCACTGGCTACGTACCGAAAAGCAAACCCCGAATGCTAGATCGGTGGCTAGATTTCGTCGTTCGGATGTCTGGCTCAGAGCCAGTCTTCTTCTTCATCCTCGCGGGTCTCCTCGCCTGGGCTTTGCTTGGCATAAAGTACGGGACCAGCGACCTCTGGCAAGTTCTGATCTCCGACATTCAGGCAATCGTCAGCTATGTGTTTGACTCCTTCCTTGTCAGACAGCAGCTCAACGCATACGACGAGGAAATGACTGTGGCCGCCGAGCTGCAGTCGCGCATCCTCAGCCACCGCAGGATGCTGGAGAGACTGGACCTAGAAACAGACAGGAAGGATCCAGAGAAGCAAGCCCGTCTGACAATGATCGTGGCTCAGTACCGGAACGCTCCCGAATTCAGCGCAGAGCTCCCTACCGAAGGGCGTTTTGGGCGGACCGTCACTTGGTTCTCTCATGTACTGGGTCATCTCGGCACAGTCACTCTATACTGGGTTGGCGTCTTCGTCTGGATTGGCCTCGGACACCTGGACGGATACAGCAACGAGTGGCAGCTGTACATGAACTCGGCGTCTTCGGCGTTGATGGTGTTTGTCTTCGCATTCCTGGCTAACATCCGCGAGCGACACTCCGCCTACACCCTTAGTTGTCTGAATGCAATCTTTAAGGTTGACGCAACGCTTGAATATCGCCTCCGGCTCCTCACTGGTGATAACATTGAAAACGACGTGGTTATCCTCCCAGCGCCCAAGGTTAGCGGAGTTCAACGTGCCATCTTCTACTATGCGGATTTCGTCGGGACTCTGGTCGGCATTACCATCCTCCTCGTCATGATGATCGTCTGGGTGGCGATAGGGCCTCTGCTACACTTCAACGCCAACTGGTGGCTGATCATTGGCACTTATGCTGGTCTCATTGGTATGAATGATGGCTTTGTCCTCCGAAACATGCAAGCTCGCCTCCGAGGTTTTGCCGATCTGGAGTTTGGAAAGGTCGAGGCGGAAGAGAACAAACTGTTTGCGAGTATCCGTCAACCCATGCCGGTCAAGGAGGTCACTGGACAGAAAAGTCTGACGCACCGCGTCTCCGATGCGATGAATCGGGTTTGCGCACATGAGATCACTGTTGTGGCCGGCTTCCTCGTCATTGTGTGTCTTATTGCAGGAGCAAGTGCGATGAAATGGACGATGACGGGCCAGTTGCTGTGCAATGTCCCACCGAGTTTGATCGAGTCATTCTTCATGATCATCTTGATCACAGGTCACAACTCGGCTGACGATAGCAAGCGAGTGGAGCTGCGGAATCTCTATGAGAGGCGTCTGAATCTTTTGGCTTTTGTCAATGGTGTGCAGACTCTTCGAGATGAGATGAACGAGCCGGAGAAGGACTAGTCATTATGGTTTCGCTCCACTGAGACCATGCATTCGTCGTTCAAGGATTGTGGATTGGGAACAGTCGTTTATTTTGCTCTTACTCCTTGTCTTTATTGTTTTAGTTTCCAGTGTTGTCGTTGAGTTGTCTGTGGTGTGGTGATCGGAGCTAGTGGCAAAAGTTCATGTTTTTCGTCTTAATCTCGCACTGCGTTAAAGTGTTGCTGACTTAGTTACTGATACAAACTCATTAGAAAATCTCAAGTTTGAGCATATGTGCATGTATCAGAAGATCATGGACAATAAATTGCCAATAAAATTCTGCCCTGCCAGTCTCTTATCACCTTTCTACAAGTTGAGTGCAAGCTGTAATAGAGAACCTGGCGTACCTATTACCCTTGCTTTTGTGACACATACCTATCAACTATGAGTATCCATCCCACAAGGCCAAAGAATACCAGTAATCCTTAAAATGGGAGGGGGAAGAAAATTCACAATTAAACTGCCCAACTTAACCACTATAGTCATGACTGATTTTCTGTATGAGAGATGAGATTATGCCACTTGGAGAAAACATTATGTGGATCATACTTCCTCTTCAGAGCCTGCAATCTGGGAAGATTGTCCCTGAAGAGATAAGATGCTCCAATCTCTTGGCCTAAAATGAGTTGTCAGCATGTAATCAAGTTAGAACAACATCACAAGTGGGCCCACCTGCAAAATTAGCATTGGCTTGCACCGCAGGCTCATTTTTGCCAGCAAAACAAGCAGATTTCTTGATCCTTGAGAGTAGGGCTCGCATGTATGTATGCATTGCCGCGTCATGCTCCGGGTCATACCAGCATAGAAGCAACGCGACATTGTAGTATCGTCCTCGATCAGCGCAGGCTGTGGCGTCGATAGGGACACTGATCGTCTTCCCATACGGTATGAGCTGGAACATTAGCACGCTGTTCTTTGATCGCGGATACTGTTCCATAATCGCGTCGAAATGTTCCCATAAATCACAGATCAGATGCCGGTCAAGTGGCATGGATACTTTAGTCCCAGTGAAACACTTCCGACCCTCTGGGACTGGATCGACATTTGCAATTCGGTTGAGTTCTGTGTAGGACATCATGGACGTCTTGTTTTTTGAAGGGCCCAGCGAGATTAACGGCGCGAAGAACTCCTCTGCCTTCTCTTGACTGCCGTTATAGAATGGCAGAACCAAGATGGCTGTACGATCAGCCGCCGATGGTGCCGCAAGCCCAAAGAAAAGGCCACTGTCTTGATCCTGCTGCTCATCGAAGCGATTGGCGAATTCAAGGATTCCTGGTAATCGGTCCACAGTGAAAATGAGCGTTCCACCATACACTGACCCGTCAAGGTCATAAGCCCGGAAAACCAGCTCTGTCACAATCCCAAAGGCTTGTCCTGCCCCACGCACTGCCCAGAATAAGTCCTGGTGGCTCTCGTCAGACGCCTCTGCAATTGTACCGTCTGCTAAAACCATTCTGACACTGAGTAGATTGTCGCTGATCAGACCGTAGCGCCCAGTTAGCCACCCAAAGCCGCCTCCCAGCGTCGTCCCTGCGACTCCTGTGTGGCTTGCAGTGGATCCAACAACTGCCAGGCCATACGCAGCGGCGGACTCGTTAACATCGTCCCAGATAGCGCCCCCCTGGACACACACAGTTCTGGAGGCAGGATCAGTCAAGACACGGCGCATTTTAGTCAGGCTTATGACCAGTCCACCGTGGGTAGCAGACGAGCCAGTGGTGGAATGTCCACCAGCCTCCGTGACGAAGTTGATATGTTGCTTTCGCGCAAATTTGACTACTTCAGATACTTCTGATGTAGAGGTAACTTCGACTATAGCGCCCTGTTTGGCAATCAGCCCCCGTCGTATGTATAATGAGAACGTGGAGAAAACACACTGCATCTCGCTCACAAGTATCACTCCATCTCTTGATCTTTTCCGCATAGTCGTCAGATCCGTAACAAATCACATTTGCCCTGGTCCCTTCCAACCACCGTCTTAGTTCTAGCACATGAGAATATGACATGAACGGCATGATGTATCTTGTCCAAAGGCACAAGGGCTGGGGATGTAGCTACGAAGTGCAATTGTAGAATAGAGAATAAAGAAAGACCTGTCACATGGAGATACCCTGTTTTAAACCAGGAGCAGGGAAGGATTTCTAGCCTTGCTATTGGACATGATTGATCGACTTCGTCATGATCGTTTCTACCGAAAAGTATCACTCGGTCGGACCACAAAAAGAGCGGAGCTCGACCTCTAGTACCTTGGATAAAGAAAGGTAAGATCTTACTTCTTGAATATGATTAGCCATGCTCACAAGACGTAATCCTAACGGGACTAAGTTACATCCAATCTCTCCAGCCATATTCACAGAAGGTCTAGAGACACCTTTGGAGCATCTTTGTTTTTCAAATTATAGTTACAATTGCAGACATGCCCATGAAATGGATAGTTTCCTCGATGCTCACACGACAAAGTCCAGGCATATGTCAGAGACATCTACTAATGCGCTCTGGCACAACGGGCAGCTATTATGATCCCTCAAAAACCATCTTTCGAGACAGAGATCATGGAAAACATGACGACACTGCAGAGCATGAATCGGATGATGTTCAAGAACGGGATCTAAACAGATGGAGCTGTTACTCGGATTAGCAAGATATCCCCGCACTTTGGGATCCTTGACTTTTAAGGGTCAAACTTCTTACCATGCGATGCTGTTGTACTGGAGACAAGGAGCGTCGGCAGGTTGCGTTGAAAGCAGCCAGGAACCAAAGGGCTCTGTAGGAGCCGCCTCTTCAAGCTCATTTAGTTTGTCTGCTATGACTTGTCGAACTGATTGATCATAGATATGAGGGTCTTGATGCTCATCCTGCGCGGTGCAATACGATGTGTATAGCATCCTATCATTCATGGTCAGTGTGCCTTGTTGGAGGTAAGGACAGTCATGCTAGTCAAGAGACTGTTTACCAGAGTGAAAGGATCAAATAAAAACTGCCACATGCACAAATAGCGAAGTACAAAGTTGTCCGACCCCTTGTGTCAATCTCGAGGTCACTATCAGAAGTCAAGTAAGGTGTAGTAGGCGTTTGCCTCTGCAAACTGCCGTACATGTCCATAGTGATCTGGCCTGTCTTGATCCCATATCTCCTTTGATGTATTATCAGCACCTCTCGACATGTCCAGGCAATCAAAATCAGGTGAGTGGCATGATTTATACCGTGCTGAGGCTAGCTTGATGTGATTGGGGAACCAAGGACCGGGTTTCCATAAGAAAGCTTTATTGTTGGTTACTCCCATGAGAACCATGGGAGATAGCTATAACTATGTTCTTGGCAAATCATCTACAGTCATATCTGCCATGATTTTGTCATTAAGCTTGATACCTTCCAAATACACTTTATTATGACTCTGCAAGGTGAAGCACCATCCTTATCAACTCCAAAGCTTAATATCATGCCACCGCAGACAGAACATGGGCGGGTGGCAAAAGGTCAAAGGAACACTCTTCCCAGTCAGACAGGGCGCCCTTTTAGGTTTGACTATCGTATGATTAGTTGCCACCCTGAATCTGGTATTGATATGTTGAGTCATGGTGTAAATGACAAGACGTATTGTATATTCGCCAGACTGGAAATAGATTTCTTGAGATGTTTAATTATTATGAAATTTAGATCGTTCTTCACAAATATAGTTTAAAGGTAAAGAGAATCTTTAAATGACCTCATATGTTTCATCACAGGGCGTCAATTGCAGTTAGATTTGTCTAAGAGTTGAACAGGAATATGATGTGTCTTATCAGTCAATATGGCCGATATCTGACAACTATCAGGTGGAAAGGATAAGCTTGACTGATCTGCCAATGTGCGAGTGACACTAGCATCTGTATAGAATTCTGGGGTTGAAGTAGCCAGGACATTCTCTGCAGTGCGACTCCATCATCGTGGTTTGTCCATTATTGATGATATTACTTGGGTCAGCTTCAGGCACATGGAAGTTTGTATGACTGAGACCATATGGGTAGTATTTACATGCTTGAAAGCTTCAGGAGTCACCTGCCTTATGACAGTCAGCACAGTCATAGTGGGCCGCCTTGACTTTTAACTGCGTATGGTGACATGAATGTATGGTTTCGTGCCATGAGTAATGACAGGAATAGTAAGCTACGTGACTTCACAGTCTATACATAGGGCACCATCCTAATTGGTGTACTTATCTACTTATGGTGGATAGAGAAGCCCCTTTCCAGTAAAGCTAATGATACTAGACTATAATACTAAGGCTGTTTAGTCCTTCAACCTTGCAAATGGAGACTGAAGCATGTCAAATATAAGAAATTAAGCTAAAGGTCTCTAGAGATAAGCGATTCATAATGGGTCGTTTGTGCACATATAATGTCTAGCAGTAGTGTGTGCAGAAGGAGTGTATGTCTCTCCTCTACAAATTATAGTTGTGCTGAGCTTCTTCATGCGGCCCAGCCTCCAGCAATTACCATCTGGGCAGCTTAGTGTACGCTAAGTAAGGTGGGCTAAATAAGACTTCTTACTGCAGTTAAGATAAGAGTACTACCTAATACAGATGGGAATTAGCCGGTAGCTGCCGGTACATTCGTCTAGTCAAAGGATGAGAACATAGAAGGTCGATATTATATCAGATAGAATACAGATGGTGCCTCTAATTGCGTCTATATAAGTCATACATCATACACCAACAGTGATCGTCCCGTGGAATTCCTCGTGAGCTGATTCTTGAACTTCGGCTTTTGTGACATCCTCCTCAGCGAGTTTCCGTGCTGCTCTCTCCGCAAGCACGTCACTGTGAAGTTGATAGGCGCGCTCCATGTCCCAATAGAACGGGCTGGGTGTGGAGAACAAGGCGTCAATCGATTCCAGGGACCGATTGCACGTTTCCGGATATAACAAGTAGACAATTGGAATCCAGAGAATATTAAGCCCAGCAAGGAGGAAGTAGCTTCGACTCTTCAGACTTCCAAACA